GGTTAGAAAATAGAAATGGTCATCACCAACTAACTCTGGTGGGAGGCTTCTAGCAGTTCATTTGTTGCAACTGTTGGAGACACCGGGCTGGGCCAAAAGAAGGGGATGCTGGCACTGTAACCGATTCTTTTGTCCTCTTCCTACGCACCTCAAACTCAAAAAAGGGCCTTGACGAGCACGGAGGAGCTCGTGTCCACCTGGCAACTCAAACGGTCTGAGCCTAAGTGCTACTACTGCTCTTGAGACCTGCGGCCTTTCGAAACCTCGCTTGTCGCGGAACGGAACCAGCGCTCGACTCTCGGCAGCTTGCGTTTCAACTTATCCGGCTGGCTTGTGACCTCGTTACATCACGCGGCATGCCACGGTTCAAACATGCGAAAAAGGCCTTGATTCTGAGCATAGAGTCCACTCTTGCACCCTGCAGATTCACGATGGCGCCATTCCAGGCCTGCACGCATTGCTTTGTCCGGACTCAGGGAGCTCGGGTGGGCACAGGGGACTGTGGGGGTGACAACCCATCCCGGAACAGCGCAGGAAAAACGCGGCACACCGCCGAACAAAGCAGCAATAGGAGGGCCTCTGGAGCTGTAGACGCAGAATACAGAATCAAATGCCCTGTGTATAGTAGGATCCTCGTTGCAAAAACCGGGGATTGGGTTGGATTGTTCGCAGATCCGGAATTCCCAACATGTCTCCACAACTGCAGGGAAGCGTGCGACGTGCTTTGCAGTCGCCATGCCACTGCGGGCTTCAACTTTGGAAGCCTGTACCGGCTAGCGGTGGCAGTTTCGGCTTGCTGCCTGCAAGCTCGAATCGGGATCTTTGTTCCGCTCTGGTTGCAGCTCTGCAATAGCGAAAGATCCTGACACTGTGGGCAAAGCTGCCTTCTTGGAAGGAGCTCACCCGACCGCCATCACTTCAGCAGCCAAATGTCACCATCGCTCCAGTGTATTGTCATCTGCGCATCGCGACGGACTCTGCCGAGGAGAATGTGGCCCTCAACTTCCTGCGTGACTGCTTCGTCGTTCACACGCTCCAGAGGAGTTTCTGCTTCGGGCATGTTCCATTGGAGGTGCCAAACCATGCTATTCCTGATGACCTCACCGACGCAGCGGTTGTCATCCATGCGGTACCAGGCACCTTGGAACTGCTGCCAAAATCCCTCGGAAGGCTGTGAACACGATGCAGATGGCAGGCTTGTCACCTCCCCACAATTTGCACATTCGTCAAGGCAGGGGCGCAGCTGAACCTGGCAGAGCAACCCACACTTACTAGACGAGCAAGATCTCTTGCATAAGCGATCCTCACTAGCAGTTTACAGTGTTTACACAGCACTCAGTGTTGCTGTTGCGCCAGCTGTCCTCCGTGTCGAGCGCATCAACGGGGTCCTGCACCCCATCCTGAGCATCACGCAACTCCTTTACTCCCGCGGCAGAGATGCCTAATGTTGCAACCGCAGTGGATGCCGTGGATGCCGTTTTTGCGGTTGTCGTTGCTTTTATCGTTGTCGTCGTCGTCGTCGTCGTCGTCGTCGACTTCGTCGTCCTCGCGGCTGGTATTGGTGCTGGTGGTGTTCTGGTTATTGTTATTGTTGTTGTTGTTGTTGTTGTTGTGGCTTTGGTTTGTGGTTGTGGTTGCGGCTGTGATTTTGGGGGTGGCTGCAGTCTCAGTAGCAGTAGCAGCAGCAGTAGCAGCAGCAGCAGCGATAGCAGTAGCAGTAACCGTAGCCGTAGCCGTAACCGTAGCCGTAACCCCGTTGCCGTCGCCGCAGTGGTAGCAGTAGCAGTAACAGTAGCAGTAGCAGTCATAGTAGCAATAATCATAATAGTAGTAACAACAATAATAATAATAATAATAGTAGTAGTAGTAGTAGTAGAGTAGTAGTAGTAGTAGTAATAGTAGTAGCAGCAGCAGCAGTGGTGGTGGTAGTAGTAGTAGTCGTCGTAGTACCGGCGCCTCATCTTTCTGCAGTGCACATTGATTGCAAGAGACCAGTGCCAATCCACGACCGGCGGGAGACTGATTGAAGCACAGCCACATAGCAGCAACCGAAAAAGCCTCTGAGCCTACAAAGGTCTGTAGTAAGCTTCTTCTCCAAGTTTCAGTGCACAGCACGACACGAACACTTGTGCTCATGAGCTGTCATGATGGGTCAAATGGCTGCAGTTCCGTCTACCCGCACGAAGGCTGTGACAGGTCCGATGCCCCCCGAGATGATACCATTTCAGCACTTTGACTAGCGAACAAAGACTCCAAAGTAGGTGGAAGAGGACTAACAATCACAGCACCGTCAAAACCCTTTAATGTACAAAGTGGGGTTTCCGCCCATAGTGCTAATGTTTGAAGTTGTATTTAGCAACAAATTCTTGATGTGCCCAAGCCCAGCTACTAATTCCTGTAAGCTGAGGGCAGCCACTGCAAAGGTTCAGGGCGCAGGGCTTCAACAGCTGGTACGTGGTTGGTCTTTTCTTCACGATTGCGTTTCATCTTACGGCTTTCCAAAAGCCGCACCTGCACGAAGACCTCCCCGATGTCGCCTTCAGCCAAGGACGTCTTTCAGAAAAGAACGTGATTCTTCCCATGCAGCAGGCCAATGAGAACCTTCCAGATTCAAAGCGGCACATGAATTCTTGTGATGACACTTTGGTTGTTTGCTTGATGGATCTTTTCCGGTCTCACAACAGTCATAACCAGCCGCGATCATCAGTATCAGCACAATCATCATCATCGTCATCATCATCATCATCGTATATCATCGTCATCATCATCATCATCATCGTATATCATCGTCATCGTTATATCGCTATATCGTTATATGTTGTAGCCGCCATCACACAACCGTCGTCATCGATATCGCAACCATCATCAGCATCATCAATAACGACAACGAGAACGACAACAACAACCACCACGACCACGAGACCACGACCACGACACAGCATCGGCATCAGGCGTCAGCATCACCATCTCCATGGTCATCATCATCATCATCACCATTCGTCTGTGTGGTCATCATGTTAATTTTCATACGATTTCCTCTGTGTCATGACCGTGGTTCTCCTGCTTGATCTCGACCATCATTCCGACACTCTCGGCCAGTCTTGTTATCGTTGGGCAGCCGGAATGCGCGCCTGCATGAACAGTGATGTTGGCGTCGTTTGCCAGGAAAAGGTGTGACCTGAACCAGATGAAATTCCGGGCCCACGGGGGTTCCCTCACCAAAACACGCTTTGGCCGAACCCCCAACCCGCAAATCCGGTATAACAGCAACGCAAGACTAGCCTCAAACGAAGAGAACTTTCTGAGAACGGAGCCCGAAAACTCTTGAGCGCTCGAATCTCTGACGCTGCAGTTGAGCCTGCCCTGAGCCATTACCCTAGACCCTCAACCGCAACCCCGCGGAAAGATGAAGCAAAAGCCAGCACGGCGATCCTAAAGGCGGGTGACCTCTAGGCTCGTTACGAAGGCTTGATGTTTTTAGGATGTTTCCATCTCGGATTTGCTTTGGCGGTTTTGTTTTAAAGCTGGGGGGTGCTTTGCAATTTTAAGTTTGCGGATTTAGGGGACGTGGGTTCGTTAGGGTTCAGGATTTCGGAGGATGGGACTTGAGCAGAGGTTCTACGGATTCTGCGGTCTGCTGAGGCTTCTTCGAACCAGGCACCAGGGGCTCCTTTTACAGGGGTTAAACACCAAGCCAAACTTCAGGAAAACCCTAAACCCTAAACCCCAACCCACCCAGAGCCCTCAGAGTGCGCGCCTGTTCACTGCAGACAAGAAGCGCTGGACCTCAGAAGCTTCAAGCTTCGTCCGTGATTTCAGGGGTTTCGTGGGCGTTTTTGGGGGGTTGGGGCTCAGGGTTTCAGGGTTGCGGATTGGCTTCAAAGTCATGAAGGGAAGATTCTTTCTTGTGAATGGCCTTACGGAGTCTACTCCACGGGGCCTGTTGGACTGTGGGGTTTACTATGTAAAGCTTTGGGTGCCCAAGCCGGAAGCAAGCCCGACACATTTTTTGGATGCACTTGGACCCTCAGAGAAGATCGTCTATGCGCAAGCAGCTCTCCGTTGGTTAAGTCATTCAAGACAGACCAAACCGACCCGAGGAAACCTGGCAGAAAGAATGGCCCGTCTTGCAATGCACCCGGCTTGCGCATGAGCTCTGTGGGGTGGAAACGCATATCCCTGCGACCAAGGTCTTCGAACGTCGAGGTCCGCACCGAGAGGTTGCTCTTGCCGTCTGCAGAAAGGTCACCAGTAACGACATCCACCCAGACCTGTCTCAGCCAAATATTGATGGTTCAAAAATCTGAAAATCCGAAGCCTTGAAGCGGTGACGGCGTAGGTTTCAGATTTGGAGGCCTAGGGGCCTCAACCCTGACTTCTAAAAGCGGAAGGGCTCAACTGCCCTGAAGCTCCAAGGGCTCCCAAACGCTGCGAAGGCCGAAGCAGAGCCAGGGCTCTAAGGGTGCTAAGCGTGGCTCTTCGTGGCTCTAAGCTCTAACGGGGCATGAAGCAGGGCATTGGGGGGACGGGGGGGACGGAGCGAAGTGTTCTAGGCTTCCTGAAGACCCCGGCCCCGGCAATTCGGCGTTTTTTGCGACGTCTCGGGCTTTTGGCTTAGGGTCTGCTGGATTCTGGATGTGGGGCTATGGAAGGTGGAGGAGCCGGCTAGGGCTGACGGGCTAGCGGTACCTTGAGGACGCCAAACCATCCCCACCCCGCCGCTGCCTGAGCACCGCCAGTCACGGAAACGGAATCAAGTGGCTTCGGCACGAAAAGCCTGAGGTGAGCTTAGGGTAATTCTTTGCTCAGATCGGGCTTTGGCTTCTTTGACCTAAGGCGGTTTTACGTCCCTAAGAGATGCTGTCTGGACTCTGCTGTTGCAGTGGTTCTAGTTCAGAGTCACCGAGAAACCAACACATGTTCACAACCTTCCTGCTGGGCACAAAACCGTGCGATGTACTCTTCGTATTGGTACTACTCGTGCCTGTTCGGGATTCCTCCGAGTTTTAGCGGTTGCAGGTTGTGGCCTTCTGCAAGATTGCAGGCTCGTAGCATACGAATCGGAGCTTGGATGAATAGTTCAATGGGCCAGTGCTGAAGTGGCTGGGTCATGAGGACCACGTTGTGATGGCAGCAGAAGGATTCCGGCTTGAACGGAAGACTTTGAAAGTCAGGGACTACAAGTCTGGGCTAGAGGAGGCTGCAGTCTGTAGTCGCAGCAGGCTCTTGTTTAAGCGCGTCTCACCCTCCCGAGGTCCTCAGGGAGCCACGTTGCTACCTGACCGCCCGCCGGCCAGGAGAAGTCTTGCCTACAAGAGGCTTTCGGAGGCTCAGTGAGTCGGGCTGTCTTCATTGAGGAGCTTTCCCATCGAGTCGAAGATCGAAACTTCCAAAGAGACCCTAGAACTCATGAAAGCAAGGAGGAGGGCTGGGCAAGGTTGCCTCGAAGAGCGAGCAGACGCCGGTACACTCATCGGGGGGTGGCAAAATTCATGGGCCTCAAGGCCCTGAACTTTGGGTGAAAACCCGAATACTAGCCTACAAAACCCCCGAAGACCCTTCATCAACAGAGGACCGTCGAAACGGGGCAGGCTGCTCAAATCCTGACGCTCGGACAGGAGCCCTGAGAGTGCGGGCTTGCCCTCGCCCCTGCCTCGCGGCGCGTTCGTCCATGCCCAAAAGAAGCGTGGACCCGAAGGTCATGGGCTGAACCTGCAGAGAGGGTTTAGTATAGGGCTTCGGGGGTTTCGGCTTTGGGGTTTGGGGTTGCAGATGGCTTGCTCATCAAGGCCGCAGCCTGGAGCTAATAACCTTAAAGCCCCAAACAACAGGTAGTTCTTCGCTACACGCTCAGACACGAACGGAGAAAAAATCCGATCACCTGCACGAGAGACGCGGTATGAGCGACAAGACCCAAATCGTGGAGCTCAAGCAAAAAACAGGTCCAGAAGCCGTCAGTCGTCAAATTCTGCCTAGCGCGACCAACCCTAAGCCGAAAGACTTACAACGCCCTAGAAAGCGCGGACCTCACACCCCAAACCATCAACCCCCAACAAATCTCTTCATCCTAGCTGCCTGAACCCCTCAACTCCGAAACCGCAGAAACTCAAGAAGCCACGAAAACCCTAAAGCCAAACCAAAACCCCTAAACCCCGAGACCCCTAGAACCTAAACTCCCCAAACCCCCTGAAGCCCTGGCTGCCTGAGACTGGACCGTCCAACCCAGTCCCATTGAGTCGGCTGCAATATCGAGATCGGGCTGGCGAGCTGCTGAAAGCTTCGTATGTTTTAGGGTTTAGGGTTTAGGGTTTAGGGATTTAGGGTTTATAAGGGCTCTTGTGGCTTTAAGGGCTCTCCGGGCTTTGGGGCTTGAAGGCGCTGGGGGTCAGAGTGTAGGCGTTGAGCTGGAGTAGGAAACAAGCATTAGGAGGGCTTTAAACGTCAGGTGTAGTTGCGGGGGGGATGCTACTACCAACTTTTCTTGCTTCCGAGCGTCAGGTCCTTTGGCCTTTCCGGCTGTCCAGGTTTAGAGCTTAAGAGTCTTTTTTTAAATGCAATGGGCCCTTTGACTCTCGCACCCGGC